GGGAACGCTTTTTGCTCCAGTCTTTTAATGACCTTAGGGGCTGCCCTTCGGTTGCACTGAGCCCGGACGGAGGGCGGAATTATTTTGCTGCATTGGCGCAGCCAGGGCGCCGATCAGGGTCGTTTGCCCAGGTTGTTGGAGTTTTACTCGCGGCTTGTCCGTGGAGGACTTGGGCTTGGCTACTACCCCCTGCGAGTTGAATGTGCCCGGGGTGGGCGTAGAGAGATAGGGTACGGTTCTGCTGGTATCGCTGGGAGGATGCTTTCCCTCTGTGGGCTTAGCACTCCTGCGGACGATCGAAACTTATTGGGCCCCGTAGGCTCTGTCTTTGGCGGGTTTAGTGGACTTAGCTTCGCAATGTCCAGCGGCTGCACTACCCGTGCAGGGTTCCGATACTGCTTTATTTTTAATCATTTTCAACTGGATCTTTGGCTCTCCTAATAAGCAGAAGCCTTCTTGCACGATGCAACAACGCGATGTAAGCAGTCGGCACCCGCTTAGAGGGTATGTCAAGGCGGATTTTCGACAACGTAAATTGTGAAATTAGCTAATTTCTTGCACTATATGAGTCGTGTTTGCGGAAGATTAAAGTTCACCATATTTCAGTTGTGAATTGTAGAAATAATATTATTATGAAATAATAATATAATAATATTATTATGAAATTTCGTCTCTAATTATTTCGATCTTTTCTTGGCCTCATTTGTAAAGAAATAAATATTGTACCAGCATGCTGGTATGTTTAACGCTCCTATCTTTTTTCGGATAAAAAGCAGTATATACTGCGTGAAAATCCCGTTTCGCCGTATCTCCATTTAAAAATAAGAGCATTTTTTACAATACATTACAGAAATAGTTTCCCAATAAAATTAAGGAATTCCTGGTATGGTCACATAATATGACCCCGAGACAAAATGATATTTCTAACAAAAGCCATGTAAATCCAAATTTCTCACTTTGTACAAAAATTAGAATTCAAAAAATTGGCATATTCTAGTTTTAGGTGTTTGCAAAATACCTTTGATTTTTGATTTTTTTTTTTTGCTGACGGCGCACAGTGGGACGTCCCGATATAAGCTGCAGCCAAAAGTAGTAACCGCACTAGAAATTTCGTATATGCGCTATTCGGCACTTAGGAATGAAGAAATGTGGAAAATGATAAAATTCAAAGCGCTACCACGCCCACAGCTCTTGTGAACGCAAATAGTAAATGTTATCCGATTTTGATTAAATTCAGAGCATATGCTGGTTTTAATGAGAAAAGCATAAATCTGAAAGATTGTCAAAATCAGGTTACATTATTTTCAATAATTTTAGAAAAACAGGCGCAAATTTAAAAAAAAAATATTTTTTGATGAAATTCGGAGTACCCTGCTCGCTTAAGCCAAAATTTTCCAACTTGGAAGACAATAAAGAATTTCTTATTACGGCGCCCACCTCCTACGCAACTGCTCCAAGTACTAAATTTTATGAATTTTGGAGAAAATGAACAGGCACATTTATTTTATTTCTAGAGAAGTTCCTATTTCTTCATTTAAAAAATTACAAAACGATGACATGTACAATACCTCTATACTTTCAATTTTACTTACATTTGATAAAACAAAAGCTTAGCTAAGGCAAGCAGGACTCTTGCCTTCGAAAAAGCATCTCGTCCAGAGAGGCGTCCATTTTTGGTTGAATGTTGATTGTGATTAATAGATTGGCGAGTCATTAAGATCTACACCTTATTTATTTTCCACTTTATATTGCATATTATTCATTTCATGTACATATCAGCGTCTTTCCATTTAGCACTACAATAAAAATTCAATAAATTTACAGGAGGTGGGTCTATAAAAGGGAGAATAGAAGCTGAACTAGCAGTTCTTCGCAGCTGGAACTATTTCAGATATGGCCCGCATATTTAATGTTTACTTGTCCTAAGTATAATTTAGCTAGCTTAATAGATCCTTTTTAAATATTCCTAAATATATACATTCCAAAAGATTAAAAAAAAACATTAAAGCA